CCCCCCGCAAAAAAAAACCAAAAAACTGCCCTGCTGCTATTCAACTTGGCTGATCCCTTGTGCCTTCTTCCTTGGTTACTATTCTTCTTGAAGCTCTGTTGACATCTGTTCACCATGGGTGACCCAGCTGGCATTTGAAATACTAATAGAATAGCTTCAGCATCACTGCAGCACGCAAGTCACCACAGCACGACAAACTGTTGACCCTGGTAAGATCAGTGAATTCCATGAGCATATGTTCCTTGCTATATTTCACATGCTTGGAGTAAGTCCCTGGACCTGAGGCAATGCCGTGTGAGATGCCACGAGGGTGAATAAGGCATCCTGTGAGCCCACCGATGGTAGTTTGGACAGAAGGACTAAGTATACAAAAGGCAAATTCATATCCAGACTCAACACGGATGAACGGCTGCCCTTTTCATGATACAAGTGGTACAATGTAATCAACTTGCCACCAGTTTGACGGCAGATCGGCTCAAGGCATGGTGCCCTATCGTGGATTCAGCGTTGGTCTCTGCTGCTGGCAGAACACTCAACAGTGGCTGTAGTATTAAATTAAAAGTGGCACAGGAGAGGCGGGGGACCAGCCCCCACCCACTGCTAGAGCTCACTGGTTCCATAATACTACTTCTGGGTTCAGTAATGCACAATTGTACGGTTGAGATATATAAGCATTATATTAAAGTCATCGAGAGCATGAGAGATAATACAATAATACAGTCAGACATGTTACATGGTAGTATTGCTCACCTCAGCCCAGCTTGGTGGTCCATGTGAAGAGAGGGGGAAGAGAAGGAGGGCAAGGGAACAAGGGAGAGGGGGAAGAGAGGGGAGTCACCAGGGAGTGAGCAGCAAGGAGGTCAGAGAGCTCTATATTGCTGACTCACGCCTATATACCTTTTGGGGTCAAGCCAGCCCACTAATTACAGGTAGAAACATACGTCACAGGGAGGAGCTGCACTATAGGTTACACAGCTATGAGTGGGTGGTCTAGGGGTTGGTCTCTGGGTCTCCATAGGAACCATTATCAGTAGGGTGAAAACTCCTCCTACAGGAGCCTGTCCATTGTCCCCAGAGGCAGGGAGCAGGGCCCACCCCTGTGGTGGGAGGAGACAGCAGTCTGGCAGCAAGGATCTGACTTTCCCCCACAAGTGGCTATAACCAAATTGGCCTTGGTGAGTAGAAGTCCATGTTACCAAACTATGTATAACCTTTATCCCTGCTGCCATGGTCACTTTGCTCATGAACCATTGAGCAATGACAGAAATGGGTGGGGAACAGAATATGTCACAGAACATGCCATCCAATCCACTTGGTTGTTGAAGCCCTCCTCTGCCAAGGTTACCTTTTTTTTTTTTTTTTTTTAATCATTTTATTTAAGGCTCTTTTAGCTTTAAAAAAAAATCATTTTATTGGGGGCTTGCGAAACTCTTATCACAATCCATCCATTCATCCATTGTGTCAAGCACATTTGTTGCCCTCATCATTCTCAAAACATTTGCTTTCTACTTGAGCCCTTGGTATCAGCTCCTCAGTTTTTCCCCTCCTTCCCTGCTCCCCCCTCCCTCATGAACCCTTGATAATTTATAAATTATTATTTTTTCATGTCTTACACTGTCTGACATCTCCCTTCACCCACTTTTCTGTTGTCGATCCCCCAGGGAGGAGGTTATATATAGATTCTTGTAATCGCTTCCCCCTTTCTACTCCCCCTTCCCTCTACCCTCCCGGTATCACCACTCTCAGCACTTGTCCTGAGGGGGTTCATCTGTCCTGGATTCCCTCTGTTTCCAGCTCCTATCTGTACCAGTGTACATCCTCTGGTCTAGCCAGATTTGTAGGGTAGAATTGGAATCATGACAGTGGGGGTAGTAGGAAGCATTTAAGAACTAGAGGAAAGTTGTCTGTTTCATCGTTGCTACCCAACCAAGGTTACCCTTTGGTGAGAATTCCAGGAGACAATTCTCCTCACTTCTCTGGCTTATTCAGAGAAGTCTATCCACATACCTCTTCCCCAAATCTCTGTACCAGTTTTACAATTAATATAATTTCACATCCCTGACTTACCAGCCAGATTCTTAGCCAAAGTTCACAAATTGGTATCCCTTATTTGGCAATTTCGACTTCCATGAAAAATTGCCATGAGGTGCCCTGCCTGAAGTTTTGCCCTTGGGTGGCTTTCCCGTCACTACTGTTTTTCAGGGAGACCCCAGAAAGGGGCTCTAAGGTTGCTGCCATCCTTTTTTGAGTTTGTTTTCTCTTTATTGGCCAAATTTCTCTTCTTCGGGCATTGGTTTGCTCTTCCTCAGCCAAGATAATATAATTCCCTCTCATTCTCTTAAGACCCATCTATTTTTGACACAGGCTCCCCATTAGGCCACAGGTACAGACCGAGAGAGGGAAGGCAGTGCGGCAGAAATGGAGCCCATGGCTGTTTGGACCGTTTAGCCACGCAACTTCCTGGTGCCTTTGGCTTCTGCTTCAGCTCAGTCTCCGCTGTGGCATTTCCATTCCATGATGGCTGCTCTGTGTGGCCCACCTTTATGACTGCGGATCAGACAGCACGAGCTCATGCTCGCCAGCTCAGGCCACACGGCGAGTGGGTGTTGTTAATCATTTTATTGGGGGCTAGTGCAGCTCTTATGACAATCCATCCATCCACCCAGCCACTGTGTCAAGCACTTTTTTTTTTTTAAGACTCAAGCCAAAGGGATGAGCTAATTTATTCAAGGCTCTAGTTTATTTTTGACTGGACTCAGACTCAGAGGAAGAAGCCCTCCGCCAGGACAGGGCAGCCTTGGCAATCTGTTCCTGACGTTTTTTCTTTGGCCGCCTGCATTCTCGTGGCCAAAAGCTCTGCCTATTTGGCGGCCTCCTCCTTGTTGTTCGGTGTCCAGTGCACCCCGCTTGTGCTGCAGGGCGCGGAGTCACCAAACGCTGAATCTGGGGCGCATTGGTCCCGGGTTTCTTGCCTTCTTTGTTCAGGGGCTTTCTCACAACACACTGGCGGACGTGGTCTTCTTTAGAGAGATGGAAGAGTTTGCGGAGTCTGCTGGCTCTTTGTGGCCCCAGGCGCCGAGGCACAGTTGTGTCATTCAGTCCTGGGGTATCTGTCTCCCCTTTCTTTACAATAACCAGGTTGAGAAGGCTCAGCATGGCATCCACAATGCAGCCCGGGCAGATTTGTGCCTCCTCGCCCCAGTCTCCTTGGTCCGCAGCAGACGGACGCGGCCCGTGGGTCCAGACACCTTGCTTCCTGGGAAACCCTTGCTTGTCATTCCCACCGCTGATGCGGTCCACACCGACCTTCCATTCATCGCCCAGCGCTTCGGCGGCGACCTCCGCGGCCATTCGCTTCTCCTAAAAGGTGCCACGTTTGCATTCATTCATCGTCCACGTCAAAGAGTTTCTGGCAGCCGATCATTTTCAAAGCATTTTCTCCCTGCCACGTGGTGATTTGCTGGCGCACAGTTGCCCAATAGTCAATCTCTACCAAGGCCCACGAACAAGCCAAAAGCTGTTTCTCAAAAGGAGAGTCGTTTTCTGCAGAGATGGCCAGAGACCTTAGCTCTAAAATCCCAAGAATCCCAAATCCCCGTGGAGCCTCAGACCTGCACTGACATTTCAGACACCAATGGATCCGCTGGATTATGTGGCCCAAGTGAACATGTTGCAGCATTTTCTCTTTTCTGGTCCTTACTCAAAACTATTAGCTTTTCACGTCACTTAATAAATAGGCCTAAGAAGGCCAGGAAAGCTGGAAAACAGCTACATGGCCAATTGCCTGTTCCAAAGAATGGTGACCCACCAGAATGCTCAAACTATAGAGCAATATCATTGACATCACATGAAAGTAAAACTTTGCTTAATATCATCCAGCGGTGGTTGCAATAGTGCATTGACAAGGAGCTGCCAGAGGTTCAGGCCGGATTCAGAAGGGGCCATGGAACAAGGGACATCATTGCTGATGTCAGATGGGTCTTCACTGAAAGCAGAGAACACCAGAGAGATATCTACTTATGTTTTATTGTATATGCAAAGGAATTCGACTGCATAGACCGTGATAAACGTTGGATAATCTTGAGAAGAATAGGAATTTCAGAACACTTGATTGTGCTCATGTGGTACTTGTGCATGGATCAAGAGGCACGACAAAGATATACTGCATAGTTTAAAATCAGAAAAAGTATGAGTCAGGGTTGATCCCTATACTTGTTCCATCTGTGTGCTGAGCAGATCATCCAAGAAGCTGGATTATTTGAAGAGGAGTGTGACATCAGGATTGGAGGAAGGCTTATTATCAACCTGTGTCCCAACTGGGAAGCACAGGAGGAGTGGATACATAATGAGAATAACTGATACAAGGGGTTATAGGGAATGCAGGGATGGGGGTGGATGATGGGGAGGTAAGGGGATCTCAGGAGTGGATGGTGAAGATGGGAGAGGAAGGGAGCACTAGAATGGATTGTGATTGCATAACTCATCTTGGAGGCGATTTAACTATGGGAAGGGGAATGTTCTGGAAAAACAAACTGATCTGGGGGTGATTGTACAATTCTCCTTGATATGACTGAATGATTGAACTATTTAATTATACAATAAGTAAGTTAGTTGCCAATAAAACTGTTGGTGGGGGGGAAACCTGTGATAGGTAGATGACACAACCTTGCTTGCTGAAAGTGCAGAGGAATTGAAGCACTTGGCAATGAAAATCAAGGATTCCAGTCCTCAGTGTGGATCACAACTCAGTGTAAAGAAGACCCAAATCCTCACAACTGGAACAATAGGTAACATCACAATAAATGCAGAAAAGGTTGACGTTGTCAAGGGCTGGACCCACAATCAATGCTCAAGCAGCAGTCAAGAGACCCAAAGATGAGTTGCATTGGGTAAATCTGCTGCACAAGACCTCTTTAAAGTGTTGAAAAGCAAGGATGTTACCTTGAGAATGAAGGTGGGCCTGACCCAAGCCCTGGTATTCTCTATTACCTCACATGCATGTGAAAGTTGAACATTGAATAAGGAAGACCAAAGAGGAACCAGTGCATTTGAATGGTGGAGCTCGAGAAGAATTTTGAAAGTACCATGGACTGCTAAAAGGACAAGCATCTATTTTGGAAAAAGTATGTGCAGAGTGCTCCTTAACGGCAAGGATAACAAGACATCATCTTACATATTTTGGACATACTGTCAGGAGAGACCAGACCCTGGAGAAGGACCTCATGTTTGGTAAAGTGCAAGAGCAGCAGTCAATGAGATGGATGACCCAGTGGTTGCAACAATGGGCCCAGGCATAGGAACAATTATGAGCACGTCATAGTGCTTTGTTCTGTTGTGCACTGGGTTGCTATGGGTTAGAATCCATTCCAGGGCCCCTGACAACAGCAACTGCATTCCCAAATGAGGAACAAGTTGCCGACAAAATCCAAAAATGCTCACTAAGCATTGTACCTCTTTTTTAGTTGTGATGGCCAGATGCAATAATTTATTCTTCCCCTTCAAAGGAATTTCTTAACTTAAATCCTCAAAACACCAAGCTCACTGGCATCACATCAAATTACCCCTAAGGGGTTTCCAAGACTAACTCTTCACGGCAGTAGAAGGCATCTTCTTACTTACGGACTTACTTACCGTACTGACTTACAACCTAGACCCATAGAAATTTCACTGAGTGGAAGAACCTCCATGTCTGTTGGGTTAATTGGTGCAGTAGGAAAAGTGTAGGGCTGCTAGCTGCAAGTCAGCAGTTCAAACTCACCAGCTACTGGATGGGAGAAAGATGAGGCTGGCTGCTCCCTTGAAGATGTATAGTCTCAGAAATTCTAGAGAGTAGCTCTACTCTGTCTGATAGGGTTACTGTGAGTTGGAGTCAACTCAATGGCAGTGGGCTTGATTTCTTTGGTTTGGGAAAATAATTGGTTTTACCAATAATTCTAGAGTCACTGACATTTCTTTGGGCCAATCACCATAACGTCATTAATTAACTGGACCAATGTAACCTCTTCTGGAAGGGAAAGTCAATCAAGATCACTGAAGATAAATTATAACATAGAGCAGGAGAGTAAATAAAACTAGACAGTGCATATGTATTCCTGGCCTTGCCAGCTGAAGGCAAACTGCTTTTGCTGATCTTTCAAAAACAGAATTGAGAGGGGGAAAAAATTGGTTCGATGAGTAGGTACATACTGGAACTAGGAAATGATACTGATTGGTTCAAGCGATGAAACCACATCTGAAACAGCATCTGCATTTGCAATCAGCACCTGGTTAGGTTTATGACAATCCACTATCATTCTCTAAGACTCACCTGTTCTATACACAGGCCAAACAGGTTAGTTAATGGGGATGTGGTGGAACCACGATCCCTGCATTCCTCAAGTCCTTGATGGTGGCAGTAATCTCTGCAATCACCCAGGAATGTAATACTGCTTTTGGTTTATTAACCATTTTATTGGGATCACTTAGCGATGTCATGCATAAGATTCCATAATTCAATTAGTCAAGCATAATTGTATAAATCCGTTTCAAAACATTTTCTTACCCGATTTAATATATCCATTCAATTACAATTCTAATCTTTATTCCCCTTGAGTGGGGTTATAGAGTCATTCTTGCTGTTAACTCCCCTCACCCCCTTTCCTGTATCCTCCGGGAACCATTACTGGCGTTACTGTTTCTGATGGTTTACTGTTTTCTTTTCTTTTCTTTTTTATCATTTTATTGGGGGCTCATACAACGCATCACAATCCATACACACATCAATTGTGTAAAGCACATTTGTACATTTGTTACCCTCATCATTCTCAAAACATTTGCTCTCCAGTTAAACCCCTGGCACCAGCTCTTCATTTTATCCCCTTCACCCTCGCTCCCCCCTCCCTCATGAATCCTTGATAATTTATAAATTATTATTTTGTCCTATCTTATACTGTCCGGTGTCTCCCTTCACCCACTTTTCTGTTGTCCATCCCCCAGGGAGGAGGTTATATGTAGATCCTTGTAATTGGTTCC